TATATTCAAAAGTAATTGAATAACATTTCAAAGTGTTTGTACTCTACTCAAGATACTTCACAGTGAAAGTAACTTTATTAGCATTTTAAATACTTTTTGAAAAAAAAAAACGTATTTAGCAACATAACTTAATTACTTTTATCGAGTATTTTGTCCAGCACTGGTAATATGTAATGAGTACATTCAATGGGACGATGCAGTTCAAATGATTACTAAAAAAGCTTTTAAAGGTAGTAGAAATAGTTTATTGATAAATAAAGAAGCATAACCTCTGTAAGGATCGACGAGGGCTCCGCGGGTGGGCCGCTAGCACCGGGGAGATTTGGCTGATGGGAAAGCGTTGGCGTAAACACCTCCCGTGGTCGGCGACCTCGACAGACGGGTGTACTATGCGACGCGAGGTTCGGAACGCGCGTTTTCTGCCGAGAGAATCGGAGCGTGCGTTCCGGGCCAGGAACCGCAGTGACCTTGGCCGGCGCTGTTTACACAGCGCGTTTACATTGTGTCAGTTTTTCTCGCCCGCGTGGGGGGGAGGGGGGGGGGGAGTAGGGTGGTTGCGGCAGAGCGGCAACGTCAGACCGCGTCTGGCAGAATAATCTACACGATGGCTCACTTAGTTGGCACTATCCACACCAGGGTCGGTTGTCCGCTTCGCCTTGCGAGAAATGGCTTTACTTGCATCCGAAAGAGCCCGACCTTTGACCGTGAGATGTAGGCTGACCGTGGGTTCCCGGCCCGGAATATAATTAATTGCCACGTGGCGAAAAAGTGAGCCGTTTGGTTGGCAATGGGAAACGCTTGTCTCACGACGCGTTGAGGATTCGCCGGTCCACTGAAAGGGGACGGACCAACGGGCAACTTTGATGGGAAACTCAACAAGTGAGTTTAATTTGTGCTGGGGTTCGAGAGCTGGCGCTCCGTAATCGAGTCAGGTCGTGGGATTCCGAGAGACTTCTGTCCCCACAATCGGGGCGTAATCCCACGAGCCAGCCAACTGACGAGCTTGGATAAGCTAACACCCGACCACCTCCTTCCCAACCCCGTACAGGGGAAGTTAATCTTTTGCAGTATTGTTGTTCTTTGCATTTTCATTCGCTACCAAGGTATTAAATTGTTTATTGAAAAGTAATTCCAAAATTCAACTGAATGAGTAATCGACGGCAATACCCGCCCAGCTTCCCTCAACGAAGTCCGTCACCCCATCCGGACCTGGCAACCCGGATGGCGCAAGGTGACCGAGCGAAAGAACCCGTACTACCTCCATCTTTTTTATTTTTATATGACTCCCTTTTTATGTTTGTTCTATATGTTTGTGGCTCTGGGGAACTATCACTATTAAAATATTTGCACCCTGCATGTATTGCAGAAAAAAGTAGTTCGTATTTGGGAAGTTACAACTTTTCTACTGTGTATGCAAAACATTTTGGTACCTTTTTGTTTGTCTTTATGTTTTGTTTTTTCTCGTTGTTTCTCTTGGTGTCAGTAAAGTGCGGGAAAACTGAGAGCATAAACGCCGTCAGTTTCCCCGCTAAATTTAGCGGAAAAATTGACGTCACGTGAACTATGCACGAATTCAGTCTCCCCGCTAAAACTGGCGGGGAGATAGATATCACTTGACCTGATGTCACGGGACCTACAGGCAAATTCAAGTTCCCCACTAAATTTAGCAGAAACAATTACGCCACGTGACCTATGGTTGGTGATAGGTGAAGAACGAAGTGGAAGCTCCACCCATGTCTTTCCACTTTAGCAGAGCGAACGGTGGAGAGGAGGTCGCCTCCTCTCCAGCGTTCGCTCTACTAAAGTGGAAAGAGGTGGGAGGAGCTTCAACTTTGTTCTTGACCAGTCACCGATTATAGGCACCTATTTAATTTCTCCCTAAATTTAGCGGAAAATTTACGTCAAGTGACCTATGCACCAATTCAGTTTCCCCGCTAAATTTGGCAGGAATCGATGTCACGTGACCTGAGGTCACGGGACGTACAGACAAATTCATGTTTCCCGCTCAATTTAGCGCAACAATTGACGTCACGCGACCTATCCACTAATTTTGTTTCCCCGCTAAATTTAGCGGGAAAACACATCACGACCTTAAAAATATTTGCTTATGAACAACGTATTGACGCTAAATCAACGCAACGTCATTTGAATATTAGATCACTGTATGAGGCACGATTGGCGTAATGTCAATCGATCGTCATCGTCATGTCGTCAAAGAAGCAGCACACCTGCTGCTGTCTAAATGCATCACGTCGTGTGATCGTTGAGTAATTATTTCTTCTTCTTAGATATGAAAGGCCGTAAAGAAAACTGCCAGTATGGTGGAAACTGCTCACTTAGAACTCCAATATATGCCGTAAAGTTTGGTACTCATCAATACTATTTCCAAGACAAAACGCAAAGAGGCACCGATGTTGTGTTCGAACTAACATTGTCGCTCAGTGTATTAATGAAGCTCGGCGGATGACTAGGACGCTATAACTTTAGTCCTTAAACTGAAGCCTACATTGTGACACTGAGCATGACGTATTCACGTCAAACTCGTACTCAGTGGCATGCCGTAAACTTTGTTTAAGCATATACCATTTGAATTCTGGTGCTTTGTCAGACGCTAATTTTCGTGCAAAGCTGGGGGGCTGAATCGTAGGCGACGGGTTGGTCTATACTATTTCGAAAAGTATCTGTCACCTTCAAAGGCCATATAGAGGGAAGTAGAGGAAGATAATCAAATCTTCTTAAGGGAGAGTTCTGCCCTAAGACGAAATTTTTCGGAGGGTTGGACCGCCACCTCTATGGGTCGGACAGCGCCCCCTTCAGTCCACGCCCGGGATTGTGATAACAACGCATGCCCGAATTGCAGCGGCGGCGGCAGTATACATACCTAACTGTTGGTTTCTGCCCGAGCTTTCATTGACAGTTTGGCGCGAGGAAGAGTGCCGACGGCGGCTAGAAGAGCGGACGGAGTGTCAACGTCTTGTGAAAGCGTGAACGAGGAGTTCATAGAGTCGGCAGGGGTGTTTCATGTTGTCGAGGGAAATGTTTAGGTCTGGACCTCTTGCGCCGCGTAGTGTTACCACCTGGCGATTTCATTGCTATGGCGGTAATGTCGGCCATGAACAGGGCAGAGAACCTCATGACGGCGTCGGCCAATACCTGCGAATAGAGTGTGATAAAGATGCGTGGCAGTTAAAAAAAAACAAAGCAGTTGGATTAATAGTGGCAGTCGCTGCAGAAACTGTTTGCGGAGCAGAACGTTGTCGATGCCTTAGCGCGTTCTCTGTGAGGCTGTGGCATTTGATGAAGCAACCGTGAAGGACCTCGATACTCGCGTTTCTCAGCGGAGACCAGTTGCTACCAGCGGGAACGTCCGGATGCTTCTATTCCTTACAGCATGGTCACAGTGATTCGTAGGCGACGGGAGGTTCGCGACGTATTATACTTAATTACATGAGGTTGGAAAGTGAATCGAGAGGACATAATAATATTTTCGCGCCTTACTTGTAATTTATTCCAGCTAAAACTAAGAGTCTTATTGGAGAAACCAGGCCCGCGTTGAGGTCCCAATATCACGGAAAACGAACCGCAACAGCCACTGCTGAAGCTTGGCTTGCGACCTGTGTAATCTTGATGCGTGTTACTTGAAACTTCCGAATCGCAACCTGAGAGACAGGACCATGCGATTGGTTCTTGCTTCTGCGGTTCCTTGTGTATCGAGTTGTGCGAGTGTCACGTGCCTGAGAACATTGACTTTTATTTTTCTTGTGAGTACCAGTGGCCACTATAAAGTGTTGAATGTTTTATGTGCCAAACCAACGAAAGGCACATGGCACGACGCAGCAAAAACACTGATAATAATTAGTGTCAACCACCTGGGTATCTTCTGGCGAACAACCAAATATCTCTGTTAAACGACACCTAGCTGCTTCGCCTCCATCAGATTGCGAGCACTTTGGCAGTGATTTCTACCCGCTAACTCAGAATTCGAAAGCCCGTGCCCTACCTTGGAGCAAACGAGGCGGCGCGTATAGCCACTAAAAATAAAGTTTGTTATTGAGAAGAAATATCTGAACTCCGAATTGAAAAATAAATAATCCGGTAAACGTCTGCGCAGCAAAGAGCGGTAACTGAAATTATGTTTTTTTTTTCTTAAAGTAAGGTCCTAGCTGTACTTACGGTGATAATAATAATAGTTTTACTGTTTTTGATGAAGCACTCCTGTAATTTATAATTATGCATGACTTCGAAATTCGCCAAAAAATATAGCTTTTTTTAAATTTTAATATCGACTGCAGAGTGGCGCACGTTTGGTGATAAGCTCTTGTGAGAACGATTTTTCTAGCTAAGGCGTTTTTACATTATTAGAAGCTGGGAAAAAAATACGCTTTATGCAGTTGTGGCACAGTATCGAAAGCAACAATTTGCGGTCGTCCCTACAGCTGGGCAAATGTACAGTCAATAATCGGTCCAGTACACAGCTGGAACAAGTTCCATTTCATTGTGCGTTCTACGCAGGTTTAACAGATGCTTTCCGCTGGCTCCTCAAACATCCGTTTATAGTTGAGCTTGCTTTTTTCACCCTCAGATCAGAACACGGAGCCCCGTTGCAGTGCATGAAGCTCGTCCTGCCGGAGTTCCTGAAGAAAAAAAAAAAGAATATTGTGATCACAGCGCCTAATTGGTTAGGCGCCATTGTGTCAGCTGACTCGTGGGTAAGGCACTGCGCCCGCTAGTTACTTCTTTTTTTATATTTTATTCACGAATTATATTTGGTCTTATTTTTCTTTCAATTAGGACAGAAAATGCCATCCGTAGGTCGAAGCGCGACGTCTCGGTTGAGGAAGGAGCCGGCTGGTGTGGACGACTGTTGGCGTATCATCCCCATCGTAGCCCTCTTGACGTTCCTCTCGCTTGGAGCCCTCGAAACAGTCGGATACCTGTACATCGAATTTGTTGAGGAATTCAATGTGGACAGAGAAACGGCGTCTTGGCCGCTTAGCCTGATGGTAGCCTTGGGATGTTCTGTAGGTATGTACACAAGTGACATAGTCTGTGGGTAAAGAAAGAAAGAAAAAAGAATACGCCTCGCAAGTGGGCTCATTTTTGTCTTCTGCGCATGAGAAAGGAAGTAGCGGTGACGTCAGAACGCCGAGCCCCGATTGGCTGATCGCGACCCCCTATCTGAGCGTCGTCTGCTCCTTTGCAACGTCGTCTGCTCGCAACGTCGTCTGCGCCTGTCTTACCTTTCCTACGACTTTCGGAAGTCGAGCGAGCTCGACTTGGCCTTTCAGAGAGGGCAGACAAAATAACTCGAGCGGTACGTTGTTTTTGTCTAACAACTAGCAGACGCGCATCAAGGAGGGAAGTCAAAGGACTCACTGGCGAGATGTCCCGAGGCGCCGAGGTTTGTTTGCTAAGAACCGAGAGTGAGCGTGTTAGTGTCCGCAAGTTCCCTCCCAAATACTTTTTCCCTCCTTTCGTGTGCGGCGAGACCCCTCATTCTTTTGCGGCGTCGGCGGGTTGGCGCAGTTAACGTCGTCTGCTTTACGTCTGCTAGTCTAAGCGATGGCTGCTTTACCTTTCCTGCGTCTGTCGGAGATCCATCGCTTTTTCACCGGCGAGAGTCACCGTTGCCTCGGGAAACAAGGAGATAACAAGAGGAAGAAATTTACCTCTTAATCTAAAACTGAGGTCAGCGATCAAAGTATAATACGGGAAGGGTTCACAAGGGTCGCGCGGGCATATTCCATTCACCACGCCAGCCGGTCGTGGGCAGACGGTCGCCGAGTGCCTGCTAGGCCTAACTGCCGTGCTCGCTTGGTCGCGTTCGGTTGATCCGTGGCCGTTGAAGCTTTTCCCGGGTGTTTCTGGATCCAGCGTTCTTGTTCGTCGTGGTCTGTTTCAAGTACTTTATACTTTTTTCTTGCTGCTTGAAGTCGGGACGCGTGAGAAGCACCCGTAGAAAAATAAACATCCGTGGGTCGTCGCGACCGTGACGCTGTCGGCCATGCTGATTTGATCGTAAGAAGTGCGTAAGACACCTTCGGAGCTGTCGTAGGATTTTGTGGTAACCTGCGCAAAGCTTACGAAAATTTCGTTTCGTGTATACGAATTTGTTCTTAAGTTTTGTCTTACGCACATTTTTTGGCGTAAGATCGTTTCGTGAATCTGGCCTCTGCACTTTCGAAAGTCGCAGGAAATGTAAGACAGACGCAGACGACGTTGCGAGCAGACGACGTTGCAGAGGAGCAGACGACGCTCAGATAGGGGGTCGCGATCAGCCAATCAGGGCTCGGCGTTCTGACGTCACCGCTACCCCCTGCGCAAGGAGCAGACGAACTTGCCCTCCGCATAAGGAAAGCATGCGGCGAAAGTGGAGGATGCTTAGAATGGGGTGTTTAACATTCTCTTTCTCATTTAGTTTATTTCCTAAATCTGGATCTCGCAGTTATTCGCCGCCAGGTAGCACGTCAAAGAAACGCCTAACTTGGGCCTAAAACGGCTTTGGTCGAGGCGTTAGTGACGGAGTAATTTTTTTTAAATATTTAATGTCTTTTCTCTTGCTTGCCGCATAATTGCCAAAGTTTCCTGCTTGAGCCGGATATTCCACGTGATAACCGAAGTAGCAGCAGTGAAGCCTAAATTTGGCACTACTCGTCAATTTCGGCTCAAAGTAGCCACAGAAACCGAGAAACCAGGAAGAAGCCTAACTTTTTCACTTGTTTGGCGGTTTAGGCGGTTTAGTGTCAAGGACGCCGAAGAACCCAGTGGAACTTACAGAGAAGTTCTGCGAGCAGACGTGTAGACGTGTAGCGCGGTGACTTGTCCAAAATGTCTGGGTTTTAGGCATATATGGACTGAGCCTCAAAGGCCCCTCTTTTTGAATGCGCCATGTGGACGGACACGCCAGCACCTTATCTCGGGGTTCCCCAGGAAAAGCATCGCGGCAATGGGGATTACCGGCGCGCGGAAACTAACCCGTTGCGCGCGAAGCCTGTTGAGTAAGGGGGTAAAGTTCTTTATTTCTAACTTTTGCGCGTGCTGTGGTATGTAATAGTTTTTTGCCGAAAAACTATGGTACGTGTTGCAGGTGTTGCATTGTTCGATTGTCAATATCCAGCGTAAGCACCCTGTGTTTACTATTTTTGTTTGGAGCTGGGCTTGCGAAAGAACGAGCCGACCCAACCTTTTTGGTCCTGCCAAAGACGGCAGGCTGGGTCTGGCGCATCCTTTTGCCAGAAAACTTAATAGGTTTGTTTTTTCTAAATGGAGCAGGAGGACCTTTTTCTGCGTTCAGTCATTCACGTATTGTTGAGCAGTGCGCTGCTCGAGTTTATTGTTTCGACTGATATTAATTTCAGTCCTGGACCCCTAAACTCGTCAAGCACAAAGTTGGGGCCGAAATTGACTGAGTGCACCGATTGGCCTATCACGACGATGACTACGCGCTTTTTTTTTTCGCCAACGTCGAATCGGCGCGCTCCGCGAACGTTCGTCTCCAACTTTTTGTTTGACGAGTTTCGGGTCCCTGATGTACGCCGCTTTTTTAAATGAGGTTGCGGCTGCTTAGAGGTTTTTGGAAGCAAGTTTTTCCTTTGAATTTTTTTCCATTGTGCTGCGGAGTTGTTTGGCCAAAGTTCTGGTTGTTTCACTTTTTCCTACTCTGCTCTACCGTTCGTTGTACAGTGCGGCACGTGGACAGGATATTTTGAAACGTGTCAAGCGAATGAGGGTCCCCGCTTACACGGAGACCTTTTTTTTTTTTTTCGATTGCACGCTCAAACCCTGCCGGTGAAAAGCTTTGCGGAGAAAAGGGGTATTCCTGTTGCTTGGTCAGTCAACTGTTTGCTTAGCAAAGTGCCCGATACGATAGAGCACGCGTTCCTTAACTGCCGGGACGTAGTGTTCTTTTTGGACGTTTTTTCAAAAGACTTTAACCTGTGATCTATTTGTCTCCTATGCCAAACCAAGCAATAGAAAAAAACGAGCGCGGCCGTTAATGCCCCATGGCATCCGCCATTTGTTTATGCAGTGAGGGGACAACTTTGTACCTTACGACATGATGATGCTTTTCGGCCTCCATAGCTTGTGGCTATGCCGCATGGCGGTGAGACACGCTGGCATCAACGTAAGCACAGCGTTTAGGTATTTTTAGAAAGAATCTGTTTGTTGAAAGAAATGTTTAAGGTACAGCAGCCCTCTTCCAACTTCTGCCGCCTATCGAGGACTTGGCGACCGTCGAAGATATTTGGCTGTTTACATTATCCACCGCGGCTATTATTTTGAAACTATTATTGTTTCTGTGATCTATTTGTCTCCTATGCCAAAACCATGCAATAAAAAAAAAGGAGCGCGGCCGTGGTCGAATGCTTATAAAGCTTGGATTCCAAACATAGGACCGAGGTTCGATGCATGAGAACGGAAGCACCTGTTTTGTTATTCCTGTGAATGTCGCGTTTTAGTTATTCGAGAACCCTGTTGCTTATTTGAGGTCCGAATGTTCTACGCGCCAAACCTTCTACGCCGATTGTTCCAGAAGCCCACGTGTGTACATAAGGGGCTCCGCGTGGCAAGCCGGAGTAAGTCTCACTCTCACCCCAGCGCTGGATCTTGCTACTATGCCGGCATCGACGCCTGCGACGCTAGCCTTCTTTTATTTTGTTGTGGGCAAAAGTTTGTCCCATCACAAATTTATGTCACATTCGTCGGGGGCGCACCGCACCGCACCGCGCTGCACCGACGGACGCGTCACGTTCGCTTGGTCGTGTCGGTGCGGCTGCACTACGTTCGCCTGGGACTTCATGCGGCGCGCGGCACCGGTGCGTTGCTGCACCAGCTGCACCGTCCGAAGGAGACCGAGCAGGTCCTCGGCACTGCGACCTTGAGTTAACGCTCTCCGCTTCCTTCGGCACCTCCTCTCTCTCTCTCGCCACGTCGTCGGTCTTCCTTCCTCGTCTCGCGAAATATGGCGGCCCGCAGCTCGAGAGAACGTGATGTCGGCGCTGCTATCTTCTTTCCCTCAAGCCCTCTTCACTGGCTACGATTCCAGCAGTGACGACGGGCGTCGGTTTTTCCCTGTTCGGGAAGTGTGTGTGTGTGTGCGGTGCTGCGTTGCGTCGGCCGCCCAGCAATCACTCCACCACGCCGGGCATGTGAAGCTTTCGTCGTTTGTCGGATTCAAGACGTCGGTGAGTCTTCGGACTTCGTTTGAACTTTTTCCTGGACTTTGGGTCCCGCAGGGGGGACTTTCCTTTTTCGAAACTTTCGTCTTCTTTGCACCGGCGAGCTTGTTTCCCGGCTGCAGTTTGTGTCGCGACTCGCGAGTGGTGAGTTGTTTCGCGTTGTGTCGGGAATTGAGTGCTGTCTTGTTTTTTTCGCGGCACCGCTGCCCGAAGGTTCGTGAGTGTGTTGTTGGAGTAAAGGGGTGTCCAAACAGGACTCTACAAAACGCACGACTACGACAAATCGTGAAAATTGAAGCGGACGCGCCCGCTTCAATTTTCACGATTTGTCGAAGTCGTGCGTTTTGTAGTGCCCTGTTCGGACACCCCTTAAAGAGATACTGAAGCGAAATTTGAAATACACCTATTATGGTCAGAAATAGGTTCAATATGATCAATGATATTCATAAATCATAATCGCGCGTTTGTATTTTGAACGGATGGCTATATTTTTCACCCTAATGGGCCCGATTGGGCGCGCGATCAAAAATCGGCCATCGGAGAGCGCGATGCGTCTTGGGATATTGGGCGCATTCGTGACGTCACTTGTGCCGGTCGGGAAAGGCTACGGCGTGAATGTTGTGGTTACGAGCGTTGCCACTTGGTGGCGCGTCGACGATTAACGACCTGTGACAACGTGGCCGTTTGAGATGTGCAAGGGCTGCACGCACGCTGCACCACGGGACCACGGCAAGTCGGCAACCACGGCAGCACTGACGAAACCAGCTCTGAGGCCGGATTCTCAAAGCGAATTCACGACGAAAAAAGTGCGTACGACAAATTTGAGAGAAAACCCGTGCTCTCGAAACGAAATTGTCGTAACCTTTGCGCAGGTTACGACAGAAACCTACGACAGCTCCGAAGCTGTCTTACGCACTTTTTACGATCAAATCAACAAGGCCGACAGCGTCGCTCAGTTACTTGGTATCGGCCACCAACGGACATTCATTTTTCTTCGTGCTCTTCTCGTGCGTCCCGACTTCAACCAGCAAGAAAAAAGGAAGGAGTACTTAAAACAGACCACGACGATCAAGAACGCAGGATCCACAAACACACGAGAAGAGCTACAACAGCCACGATTCTGCCGACCGAGCGAGCTCGGCAGAATATAGTAGGCCTAGCAGCAACATCGACTCGGCGCACCGTTGCTCCGGCGGTCCTTGGCCAAGACCGTCTGTCCATGACCGGCTGGCCTGCTGAATGGAATATGCCCGCGCGACCCTTGTGGACCCTTACCGGATGAGTAGTTTGATCCCTGAACTAAATTTCAGAGGTCAATATTTTCCCCTTGTCATCTCGATCTCCTTGTTTTCCGAGACAGCGGTGACGAACGCTGTCGTCGAAAAGGGACTCTCATTGATTCTATCTCCTTGTTTTGTGTGATATAGAGCTCAAATAAACGCCATACGGATTACCTTGGCAACTCGGTATGTACACTCTGTTATTAGTATGCCATTTTTATTCTGACTCGACGCTACGTCAGTGTCGAGCTATAGCAGTTCGTGGGAGCTACGCGATGTCGGTCTAACCTTTCTTTGCCGAGTGTCATGTCAGTATCGAGTTGCAATCGTAAAAGATCGGTCCAGAAGCGCTTACCGAAACGCGGTCTAACAGAGCGAATCCAGCACTTCGATCAAACGCGCGTGTCCGCTCCGAGTGTGAACAGGTATTTGGCATTTGCGTGGCTCTTGCTGACACCCTCGTAGTTCAAACATATCGTTTTTAACGTCGGCTTGCAGCTCGCGACTCGCAGCAACTAATACCGGCCGTGCCAGAAGCATGCTCGGGCCGTGTCGTGCAAAGAGCCGCAACGAGAACGAGCTCACTGTGGCCAACTACGCTTTGGCTTTCTCCGCCAAGGCTTTGCAAACGCGTTCAGGCCTAGGCGAATTCTGCCGGCACGCCGTATTGCCGCAGAACGGCGCTGCTATTTTGGCACAAGTGATGTCACGAGAACTTCCCCCCATCCACCAGATGAGAATTTGAAATCGTTTAATTATGTTTAAAATTAGTTCTCCTGTGTTTTACAGCGCAATATTTATATTTCCGAGGTGATGCCTGTCCCTAGCCCATATTTATGCAACAAGATCGGCGCTAAAATTTCGTTTCACTACCCCTTTAACACGTGTTCGCATTTCGTTCTGATGGTTTTGTAGTGTTGTCGTCGTGCGCGGCCTTTTATTGCCTAATTAAGTTTCTTGTTTTTCTTTTAACCCCTGCGTACCCTCGCCTCTGTTGATTTTCATACCGGACGTGTACCTATCGCTAATCCGACAATAAAATCGCATATGTGTAAACGCTGTTTCATAGTCCATGTGTTTTTGTTTTTACGTTGGCGGGCAAATTTTCGGTGCAACAAGTACATATTTGAACCATCCACTTGAAAGACAATTTGTTACTTTCATCCTCGCTAGATGGCGCGAGCCGCCACCCCACTCTTGCGGATATTTTTTATCGTCCACCCGTCGAACTAACCCGTTCATGTTTTGCCCTTGCAGTGACCGCACGGAGCGCATCGCACGGCGGGATGCTTCGCGTTCGCCTGGTAGTGCGTCATGTGGTGCACCTACACAGTGGCATGGTCTGGGGGTCGACATTTTCTCGGTGCTGTGAGCGCCCCAGACGAATGCGACATTAGTTTCCTTCAGTCCTTCGTCGCCTCATCGATTGCCATTTATGACACTATGGTATAAGAGGTCATAACATATTCTGGGTGTGGGTCTGTCGGAGCGTCAAGGCCTAAAAACCGCCTGGAGATCTTTTAAGCCACATACTGTGACGAAAACCAACCCATAAAACATAAATTTATGATAGTGCGGATGATGTGGCTTCAACAATTACGAAGCTTGAAATCGCAACATGCGCCAGGCCATAACACAGGCATTTCAGACGCTCATTTTAAATAGAGAGCTGTCTCTTCAAACATCCTATTGATGCGTTAGCGTTAGTACCTTCATGTCAGCGAAGAGCTGACGCCGTCCATCTGCGGACAAACTAGTGAAAAGGGAAGCGTGCCGCAAAGAGAATTAAAACAAGGTCAATTGATGGATTCTTAGGGAATATGTTAGGCATGGACCCCTCGAAATGCCACACACGTCACCCTTTGAGAAACACTAACTCCGTAACGAAACCAAAAAAAGGCAGCAAAAAACAGAGGGAACAAAAGAAATAGCCAATACACAAAAATGAAGGGTTTTAGCGTTAGCGTTTCCTAAAAAAGGACGTGAGTGGCGTTTACCAAGGGTCATGCTAGCGCATTCTCTTAGGATCCACCGATGGATATTCCTTAAATTTTTTTTCTTTGGCTTTATCGCTCGCTGAACCCGCTCTGTAGATCGCGCTGATAGGTCATAAGACTGCAGTCCGGAGAAATTGATACGCAGGTATTTCACGCTGTTTTTACCGACGAAATTTAATTTAAAACTATGGCGTGTATTTACAACGAAGAGTTTTCTGTAGGAAATATGGCCACTGAGTGAAAGGACATAACATGTTTACTTTGAGCTCAACAATACGTGCTCATGACTTTATCATAAGGTAGACGGTGTCTTTTTTTCGCAAATGTTATTTTCTTCCCGATACCAGCGAATTTGTATTGACCAGTCGTACATGCTGAGTATGTACATACACGTTCTCGATTGATGACTTGATATTGTAACACAGGAACTGTGTTTTTGTTTCCGCAAACAATACTTCAGACTACGATCAATATCTAGAAGCTGGCACAGAGGACCGGCATTTGAATAGTTGATTAAATAATCAGCCCGCATTTCGACCCTATGCATTTCGTCCGTGTCATACCTCACGCTAAGTTGATATTGTAATGAAAACAGTTTCTCAGTCCTCACGACGTAAACAGAGAGGCCGAGTAAGAAAGAATTAATCTCTATAACCAAGAGATATGCATTGGTGATAAGAAACGTGATCCAATTATTGAAATTAGTTTATGCAATGACGATCACGCCTCAGGCGCACCTAAAAGCCTTGTTCTTGAAATTAAGTGAACGACATACCTACGTATTATTTCGATGTGCTTTTTCCAGTTACACACGCTTGTGTATGTTTATCACTTATATTTTGTGCGTAGCGGACTATGAAGTTTAATGTGTGAAAGGAAATGACAGCGAAACGCCTAATTTTATATAATCTACGCTTGAAACTAGATATTATACCGTTAACAAGATTTTTTTGCAAAAAACACAGTTCATTTCAGTTTCTTTCGCAAAAACTATCTTGAGGAAAGGGGGGGGGGGGGGGTATGTGATGCGTTCCTTTACTTTTTTACAACTATTGCAGAAATTCTCGATGTCAAGAAAAAAAGGAACCGTATACACGTTTTATAAAATGATGCCAGCGGATCCGTTCAAAGATCGACTTTTTTGCTACTTCTTAAAAATACCCGATGTGAAAAGAAACATTTTTATCACGTGTTTATCGCGTCTAACACTTAATCTTTTTTATTTCAGGCCTTATGTTGCCACCCCTGCATAAAAAGTTTTCTGTGACATCTGTCATGGTTGCATCAAGCGTTCTAGCATCACTTGGCTTAATGGCATCAGGATTTGCGCCTAATATAGCATGGATTTCTGTCACGCTAGGTGTGATTCACGGTAAGTGTCTGTCAAAAGAAGAAAAAGACTCAAATTAAAAGACTCCGACGCATGTCCTTTTTTTTACATATTGGAGCGCCAGTTCTCACTCACCATACCGTGAGTGAGAACTGGCGTTCAATTCAAATTCCATGAACCGTGTCGTACTGCTTTGGTTATATATAGGTTAGAAGAGTAAAGAGCTGGGAAATACTTTTTTGAATCAAGCAACTCATCCTGTTGGGAAGTATGTAAGTTTATTTTAATTCGCCGCCGTTGTACGCTGACTCACGAATGCTATTAGGACTCGCGTCACTTGTTCCTATTGGCAAAAAAAACCTATAAAATAAAAGATTATTCACGGAACAACGAAATTCGCCTGTCGGAAAGACAAGATAATGCCGGATTTTATGTGAGAGCACTGCACGGGCCACTTTTTAGACCACAGTTCCGGCCCGGGCCCGGCGTCACGGTAATTTACCCGCCCAATCCCTGCCCAGATCCTTGAAACAACCCTCGGCCCGACGCCGATCAATTTCTGTGTTACACGGCCCGGCCCAGCCCGCCACCTTTTAGAACCGGCCCGGTTCGGCTAGGGACCGAATTCGGTGTCATGTTTTCTAAACTTCGCCACGAGGAGTGCTAAAATATTGGGCAATGTAATTTTATGCACATAAGGCGACCGCTGGAGTTGCGTTGCTAGTACGCAATTTCTTTCCTTTTACATAAGTACTACCTGACGGAGCTACGAATAACACGTGTAAATTTATCTAGGCTAGTCGAATTGCGTCAAAAAAAAAATAGTAATCTAAAAATTAAAAAAAAAAATAACAAAAGACAGTATAGATGAATTGATTGACCTTTAGGCCTAAGCAACAAATGACAACTCCGACGGCGATTTTATTTTATTTCCAAGACGAGTTGACCTGCATTCGCAAAAGACATATGAATTATTTCCGCAACGAATTTGTTCACGGGCCGCTTTCTAGAAATAAACAGTATTCTTTCCGGGGCCGCAAACATACAAATAGTCTTTTAATTAATTCTGGAGAATTGACAGGGACTAGAAAGGTAACAAAATAAAAGTGAGACTCCGACAATACTTTTATTTCCGGAATGAAAAGAACACAGGGTTTTGTGTAAGAAGAAAATGTTTTCCAATGAATCTGGAATGCACAGAATCTTCTTGGCCATAAAATCAAGACCTGAAAATGTCTTGCTTTGAGACTCCCTTCACTTCAGCAGGTCACCGAGCATTCCACACGATTTGCCGGAATGGAAGTAGTTGTCTAACTCAGAATCACCACGGTCCGTCTCGGGGCCGTCGTGCCGGTCTTGAAACTCATCCAGGAGTATCCGTTTTAGTGGTTTAGCGCTGACGCATTTTTCGCAACCGCTCTCGCGTTCAGAAGGAACCGCCGGCATGCCGACCATCCTTTTTCTTACTGTGCTGTCGACAGCGCTCCTCTTTGCACCTTCAGTGCCCATCCACCAGTTGTGATAGTTGTGAGCTCATGCAGCCCCTCAATTTGATCATAGAATGCCACACTAACTTGTGTCGAGTATCGTGATAGCCAAGAAAGACGACGCAAAATATTCTAAAAGCCGACATGCTGCACTATTTATGAATATGCGGCGAAGAACTGACGAACTTCGCACGGCGGCGCGTTCGCATTGCGCGCGGTGCAACATCCACTGTTCCGACGCCACACGCAAAGCCAATTTCGTCGTGCGAAATTCGTCCCCTTTTCCGCTCCATGGTGTCCAGCCTTTAGGGAGCAAGGCAAAAACTACGATATGTGCCGGCTTGTGATGCAGCCCAGACATATATTACTTATATCATCGTGCTACGCTTGCTGTGTATCAATTCATTGATCTACAGACTGCCGTGATTTCTTCATAAATAAATTATGACAGCGTACATAATCGCATGTTATTTCAGTGCAACCCAGACGAAGTTCTACGTAAATATGTAATGAACGTTATGCTCGTTTTTTTTTCTTGTTTTTTTGTTGTTGTTTTTTTTCGGTAAGACGACGGTTTTAGCAAAGCTGCGATGTTCCCCACTGAAACCACATCTACTACTGTATTTGCACTCGTCGGCGAGCACGGATAGGGCCGCAGCCCCGAGCCCAATCCAGCTCCGCCAAAGTGTTGGCCCGAGCCCAGCCCGCGCCCGCAGATAAAAGCCCGCGAAAGGACCGTGCCCACCGAAAAACCGCCTAGACCGGCCCGTCCCGGCCCGCGTGCCGAGCCGGGCCCGGGCTTTCGGGTAACAGCCCGGGCTTTCGGGTAAGCATAAGCCCGTGCAGTGCTCTCTTGTATGTTTCAATTTTCGCGTAATGTTTTGTACATATACTATATACCGGTAGAATGAATTCAGATTAATATTTATGAAGTTAATACACCTCTGGGATGAAATTTGTCTATCTATATAACATGGAGGGATGTATTAATTGCCTTATTTGCGTACAAAGCAAAATAAAGTTTTATTTGTTTGTTTTTTTGCTGCTTCCAGGGTTTGGGGCCGGCACAACTTACATGTCGGGCAACCTCCTTACGATGATGTATTTCGACAAGCTCAGGGGCGTGGCCCTGGGCTTCACGTCCGTCGGATTGACACTGGCCGGGATGGTTTTCCCACGCTTACTTTCAGCCTTGAAGGACTCCTACGGGTTCAGCGGCAGTTTCTTTATATGGGGAGCTCTGATAATGAACCTAATCCCACTTGCGTGTTCACTTAAGGTGCCGCCCTGGCACACCCCTACAAAACGTGGCCACAGTTCGGCTCCGAGTAATTCCCTCGTCACCTCCAATGAAGTTAATGGCAGTCTTAAATACAGCACAGATCGCTGCGGAAACAGTGATAGCCCAAGGAGTCCGAACCCCGGTTTCTGGAAGTCAGTAATAGACGTCACTCGGAATCCAATCTTTTACGTGCTCTTGCTATCTGCGGCAATCTTCTACGCTGTCGAGTACGTTATCTTTACGACGATCGTCGATTATGCGGTGGATAATGGTACTGACGAGTCGACTGCACTGTGGCTAACACCCTGGTACCTACTTAACGTGCTCCATAGGGTGCGTTTGTTTGCCCCTGTTGGCTGATAAGGGACTTTTACCCAGAAATGTGTTGCTCACTCTGTGTTTGCTTCTAATGGCGACGTCCCTCTTGGTTCTTCCGTATGCGGTTGATTTTTGGATGATTGTGGTCGTGTGCACCTGTATGGCAGCTGGCTACGGCAGTACTTACGTGATGCACGATGTCTTGCTGGTCGACTACTTTGGAGTGGAGCAACTCGTCGCCCTGTACGGCATCATGGGTGTCGCGAAGGCTCCGCTTTTGCTTCTGACACCGAGCTTCATAGGTGAGTTTCTGCGAGCGTAGATTGAACATGCCGAAAGCTTGCATTGCCATACTTGAACCACTTTGCTTCTTATGTTGAAAAAATATTTGTATTTTTTTTTAAGTCCGGTTTTGTTAAAGCATTGTTTGAACTGTCTTGTAATTTATGTGTCTTAATCCGCGTCCGGACAACACGTTATTGTACATTGCTATTCAAATATAACAATACCACATATCACAGTACCACATATCAAAATAACAAAAATTACAATAATTCTTTCGGTATTATTAGTTGAGTCTACCGATTTATTTTAAATATCTAATCGTATTAAGTTTTTTTTTATAGGCTTTGTAACAAAACGAAGCGCGCTCTACAGCTGAAGCGTTAACTAAAAAGACGGATTTTAAAAATAGTTTGGACGGTGGAAAGGTCGAATGGTATTATTCCGCTTAATTTAAATATTCCGGTTGGCTACAATAGCAGTCTCAGTGACAGTCAGTCAACTTTCTATGAGAGGGGCAGGCTTGTTGGAGATGACCGACGTTTTTGATTCCTCGGAAGTAGCAAACAAAAATATGAAAACGTTTGGTCCCATTGAGCACGTTTCGACGAGGTAACTTTTTAAAACGAGTTAAATTTTTACTGACCAGTGTGGTCCGGTTTATTGCAAAGACAGTCAGATACAAAACACTTTGTTCGAAAGACATAGCCCCAACTCTTTGGTGCCAATTCCAAAACCGAATCTCCGAAGTTCTTTCGCGCTGCTCGATTTCTAGAAGCGCGGGTAATCTCCCTTTCTTGTCTTGAAAACACACGCTCACTCCATAACATTGAAAGGTAACGATGCACCGAGAACAGCATCGCTGTGTTTGTCTGTTTGCTGCTACCCATCACTGCGCGAGTCCGGATTGCGTAGAAGTGAAAGTGCACGCATCCACAAGGCTGACGTGCTCCCACACAGATGGTGCGTGGCGTGTTGTGCTCATGATTCTCGCCCGGTGCGAACAGTAACTATAACAAACTGCAATAGATATATGTGACATGATTTCTGGAAAGAAAAGCTAACCGGAGCGCGCCGTCAAAGAATATTTCCCCTCAACAGACGCATCTTTTTCCGAGATATGAGAATAAACAGAAAAACGGTACAAAATAAGTCTCGAACGTAACAGGGTCCTTTCAGAATAAGAGAAAGACAAAAAATCAGGTGATACCTTGCTTTGCAGTGCCAGTGTTACTCACTCTACATTGCTCCTCGAACTCAATTATCAAAATGATAAACAAATTCCGGATGCTCGAAGTGAATTTTTTTAGCAGCTGGAATTTCGTCCCCAGGCAGGGTTATGATTAGATTATCAACACTTTACCATCTAGTTCGACTCGTAGTACCAAAAATAGCAAAAAAACTGCAAAAAAAAAACAACAACTTTTTTGGCGTTTCTACGTAAGTGGAAGTCTGCGCATGCTAAAGTTCACTATTTAATGGCACTAGCGCATACTTGGTGGCTCAATTCACATTTCGGAGAAATCGAGAGAGTTTTAGCCCGCACCTAACAACTGTTTTCTTGCCTTCCATTTTCAGGAATATTCAGAGACACTCAAGGTTCCTACGATAACCTCTACCGTCTTGAAGGCGGCCTACTTATGTTTGCCGGTACAATGTGGTTGCTAATATTATGCTGGGAACAAATTACATCTATTAGGTCATTTACACTTAGGTCTCGTTAGAGCTAGACCTAACTATTTTCTCTGCATAAAGCCACATTTTCAACCACAATTCCTAACCTATGGCCTCACTGACTTTGACGGTGACCGTATGTAGACCACCATAAACAACCGAAAGATGGAGCAAGTTGAACTCAAACAAAGCATACATTTCTGTTTCAGGGCGAGTCTGCGGTTATTGTCATGACTAAGAACTGAAGCGATCAATTGCACTGTTGTATAACCAGGATCTCCAACGACAAGTAGCGATATTTTCATGAAAATCTTGTCGGTCGCGTAATACAAAAGCAGTTGAGGCAGTGATGGGGAGCAGTAAATATTTTATAATTGCCAAGCCGCCTTTTACAAAAAAGAAGAAAAAAACAAAGCAAATTTGGTACAGGGTGAGGCTGAAAATACCCTCTTCTGTATCTTCTAAATACACATTTCATTCAAGCAGATTATTTTTTCTCGTGACGACTGAAATTGCAATTCTAGTGTTAAGTAGCAACATCTTGAGGGACAAAATCGTAGTTGCGGAAGCTTTTAATTTTTATTTACCGACGTCTGTGAAATAAAACTCGAGTTCATTTTTGAAATGTATTTATTCCACGTCGTCCTTTGTCCTAGACTTATTTTACTCATATTACGTCTGTTAGTTTTTTATTTATTATAAAATTTTGACCTAGTTTTCATCTCTGGTTTGGATAAAAGACCCGCACACAATCGCCACAACAATGTGATACGTATGAACATGGTAAAATGACGCAGTTCGCAGTACGGCTTTAACAACATATCAGTCAAGGGGACGGGAACACAAAAAAGGTGTATATATTCTATATATATATGGCACTAAGATACTGTAAAAAATAAAAAAGGAAGCTATTTGACTAGACTTTCAGTTATGCAGAAACTAAAAAAGAAATATCAGATGTTCACTTGGGCCAGATTCGCCTTGGACTATATTGCCGCGCACGCAGGTGGCCAAGCAGGCAGCGCGCTTGTGGCCTAAAGGTTATCGCGCATGCCTTCCGCGCAAAAAAGCCAGGATTCCGTTACTGGCCGCGAAGACGCATTTTTGTTGACTCTAACGTAATGTTCTGGTAAATTCGAGAACCGTGTTGGCTGATTCGAGCTTAGAATGTTCGACACGCCGAACCTTGTACGCCGATTGTTCCAGAAGCCCACGCGTGTACAAAAGGAGCTTCGCGTGGCAAGCCGGAGTCAGTTTCGCCCCAGCGTTCGACTCTGCTGCCACGCCGACTTCGACGCCCACAACGCTCTGCTTTCTTCTGCTCCCTTTTTATTTTGGGGCACAAGTTCGCCCCATTAAACGTCTAATTTCTTCAGCTATGATCGCCTCATCACTTGTCATTCGTGACAATATTGTTAAAAATATATATAGATAAGGCGACGAATAACTCAAGGAGCTAAATGCTTATTGGGGCGAACTTGTGCCCGAAACAAAACAGAATAAGGATAGCGTTGCAGGCGTCGATGGTGGCGTAATACCAGGGTCGACCGCTGATGCGAGACCGGCTCCGGCTCGCCACGCGGAGCCCCTTATATACACGCGCGGGCTTGTTTAACAATCGGCGCAGAAGGTCTAGCGAGTTAAACATCCGGTCCTCTAATAAACAAGAGTGTTTTTGAATTCAACAGAATGCGACATTTACAAAAATACCAAAAATGGGTGTCGGCTCCGAGGCATCGAACCTCGGCCATTTGCGTGGGAGCCGAGCACGATAACCATTCGGGCGCGGGCGCTTTTTTTTTTTTTTTTTTTTTTTTTTTATTTAGTGCTAAAAACAGATTACCCAGATCTTTTGGGCAGCTGTAGAGTTAAAAATCCTTCATACACAACAGCACATGCAACAGGTTTGCCCAGTCAGGCGTTGCGTCCGTACACTCAAATACACTTTTCACCTGAGTAACAAGTTCAGTGAAATACTGTGGAGCAGATTTTGGTTTCTCCACTGCGTGGCGGACATCCATACGAGATTTCCACAAAGCAAACAAACTTAACACCATGATCATATCGAGCGGGACACTCTCATGTTTGTTAACAGGGAGGAACCGAATAGAATGGGATGTTATATCTATGTCCTTCTTTATGGTGCGCTTTAGGACGTCCCAGAACATGATTGCGTCCCAGCAGTCTATGAATACGTGGTCAACTGTCTCAGGTTGCTTGCACAGTAGACAGTTAGCACCCCAAGGTAAAAACATACCTCTCTCAGCCATCCATACTTTAACTGGCAGTGTGGCACTGTGCAGCCGGAAAAAGAAGGATTTCGCCGCTGGGGGGATCCACATCTTCTTTACGCGAACCAAGACATCATCCCCAGGCATGTTAATGAACAAAGTTCTGTACAACGGAGCGGGAAAGAGACTATCAATTAGATCTTTGGTCAACTTTTTTCTGGTGACACTGAACAAATACTCCCGCGAGTAACGCGCCATTAAGAATTCTAATGCATTCACCACCTCCTTCACAAAACCGACCTTCCTAGCGGGGAGGCCAATGGTAGAAGAAACCAGAACGGAAGGCAAGTGAGGAGCTATTCTTGTCTGAAACATTACTTGCAAAAGGGGATGTTTTTGGTTTCTCAAGAAAAGAAAACGTGAAACAATTTGTCGGACAAATAGGTGGGACAAACCGAGTCCTCCTTTTGACACTGGACGAAAGAGGTTATCGCGTCTCATGGGTTCCCCCGTGCTTTTCCATATGAAAACAGCAAACACTCTATGCATTTTTTGTATACTAGTTCGTGCACAGTGTAGGACTTGTAGTACATACCATAACTTGGCGATTAGAAAAACATTGCAGACAGTGGCCCTAGCAAATATCGACATGTCGCGGCCACACCATTTGGTTGCCCGCTTTCTTAAATCCTCAACAACGTCCGCCCAATATTCTGAATTAGTTTGCATATATTGTAGTGGGGTTCCAAGGTATTTGCTCGGAACGCAGCTCCATTTAACACCTCTAAAATATTGAGGCGTGGTATCCCACTCACCGTACCAGGTACCATTACATTTGTCAACATTAACAACGGCACCGGTTGCTTCGCAAAATTGTGTACACAGTTCTAAAACACTAGCCACACTCTCTTTGTTACTACAGAACACAGCAATGTCATCTGCATACGCTAGCACCTTGGTTTCTACGTCACCCATTCGAAAACCTTGAACTTGTTTCGACCGAATAATACTGAAACACAATGGTTCCAAATAAAGAGAAAACAATAAAGGCGACATTGGGCAGCTTTGGCGTACCGAAGAAAAAACATTTATAGCGGGAGACAATGAATTGTTTATAATTAATTTCGTCGTGCACCCCTTATAAGCCATTTTAACACCTTCGATTATAATTTTTCCCACATTAGCCCGGTCCAAAACCTCCCAAAGAACGTCGTGACACACCTTGTCGAATGCCTTTGCTAAATCAATTTGCAGCATTGCAATTGAACTTCTTTCAGCTGAAGAGCTTTCCAAAATAGTCTGCGCCACGTGAATGTTTGTCTGGATAGACCTGCCTTTAATTCCACAGGTCTGGTGTGTTCCGACCAGCCCGCAAATCACATGCTGAATTCGTCCAGCAAGAATTCTGGCAAAAATTTTATAGTCAACATTAGAAAGTGCAATAGGTCTATAACCAGTTACACGCTGTCGCACACTTATATCATCGGATTTGGGAATTAGCACTGTGTGTGACCGAAGGAACGATGGAGGCAAAGTTTGAAAATCATACGCTTCATGTACTACCCTGAGGAGAAACGGAGACAGGTCGTTTTTAAATTTCTGGTAAAACTCTCCTCCAAGACCATCCGGGCCAGGTGTCTTGTGTGACGCTAAGCCGTCAATCGCGTTTTCTACTTCACTCAACGTGATAGGTTCCTCGAGCCACTCTTTTTCCTCGTTTGATAACTCGGGTGCTTCCAGAAGCATCGACCTAATATCTGTCATACTCGTCGGCATATCCCGGCCTCCAAAAAGCTGCTCGTAATACTTGACGAAAGCGAGTTCAATCATATCTTTGTCAGTGCTGATAACACCCTGATGCTCAACGGCGGTGATTTCTTTATCTAAAGCGTACTTCCTTTCATCCGCCAAGGCGCGGCTAGTGGGCTGTTCCCCCAAAAGAAATTTGCGTGCTCTTGCTCGGACTATCGCACCGCGATAGCGTTCTTGGTGAAAGCCGTCAAGTCTTGCTTGCGCTTCTTTAATCGCCGAGTAATGCAGACCGGGATGTTTTTGTTGGTCCTGCAGTAGGTTAAGCAAATATTTGCTCATCATCCTCTCTTCGTTTTTGCCGTGAAACTTTAAAACAGACGACCTTTCTATAGCCCGTGATTTAACTTCTTGCTTAAAGTATTCCCACATTTCCATGCAACTCATGGTATTATCTGCGAGTACCGCCTCAAAAGCTTCTTTTACTCCTTTACAGAAAGTCTCGTCATTCAACAAATTGACATTTAATTTCCATAGCTCCCATTTGAAATTTGGTGCCCTCTTCTTTCCGCACCCCAACGTAATCGTGACAAGAGAGTGATCGCTAAAAAAGAGCGGTTTCACGTGATAATCTGAGACGATATTGCATATCTCTGCCGAAACATAAATCCTATCCAAACGCGCGTGGGACGACTGCTGGAAATGGGTAAAACGAAATTCTTTCCCCGAATTCTGGAGATGGGCTACGTCTTCTAATTTATATTCATTTATCAGGTCATTCAAAACTGTAGCACTCCGATCGAAATTTTTCTTGGCACATACCCTGTCCTCGTCGCTACATACACAATTAAAATCCCCCAAAAACACAATAACCTTGTCGCACTGTAGATACTGCTCCAAAAACTGAAAAAGTAAGACTCTTTCGCTAACCTTATTAGGCGCGTACAAACATATTACACGCACTCCTTGATTTAGACACTTCAAATCACAGATTATGAGCCTGCCTTGATCATCTGTGATAACGCTGGAAACGTTAAGCTGTTTAGACTTTTTAAGAAATAAGAAACATCCAGCGGACGCTCCAACAGAGTGACTTACGCAAACCTCGTAGCAGCGAAGGAAAGGTTTCAGTGCTTGTTCAATGTGGTCACTGTTTTCCATTTTTGTTTCCTGCAATGCCAGAATATCTAGCTCTTGCTCCCATACTAGACGCTGCAGTTGGTACTGTTTCTTTTTCGAGTTAAGTCCACGCACATTT